AATACATAGAAAAAGTAATAATAAAATGCAAACTTAGTACTTATTTACAATGTGTATTTCTGTCTGTTGCCCAAGAAAATATTTTCTTAAAATCTTTTTTTCATCACAATGACCAGTACAAATGTGCACACAGTACTATGCAACAAAGATTAAAGCCATGAAAAAATGTACTATGATGAATTCGTGTTGCAATCTCACAGCTAAACCAAAAACTTCTTATCAGTCTCATCTTCTGAGTGTTGTCTGAAACAGTGCTCGTGGCTCACTCTATGGTGCACTTCTGGGATTAATTTTACATCGAGCGTCTTCAGTTCCCCACAGACTCATAGGCATCAAAGCAGTCATATTTATTTGTTTTGGATTTTTATCAGCTAGTGTCTTGACTTGTGACTAGGGAATCCGGGTATGCCTAAGGGACCTGTAATAACTCTTGGTGTTTGTCTTTCTGTTTGTCTTTGTGTTTTTGTCTATTAACCAATAAGAAAAACATATTTTGTTTACTACAGATAGTTGTCAAATCTTGTTGCTAAAATTGAAGATGTGTTTACTATGGGTGTAAAAAGACAACACTTATAGGTGGAAATCTGCAGGGATATGATGTAAACATGGCCATCTAAGTACATAATGGATTAAATGTTGAGTCTACTTAGACTGTGAGATCCTTTTCAGCAGCAGTGCACTGATCTGTAAACATTCATAGATGTGTGCTTTTTTCCCTCTCTAATGTTTCAGGAGTTTTTAAAAGAAAAATATCTCTTCCTATTCACAATATTTTCTCAAATTTGTTCATTCTCTATTCTCTCTTCTCAGCTATATGTGCGCTGTGCTGTTAGAGAGTTCATGGTGTTAACTGTATTAAACAGGGGATTAATGCCCGGGGCTCTGGATCTCTGGTAATAGCAGACGGAAATACTGATCAAAGGACTCTAACTGTGCCGTGGGTGTTCGGACTGCCTCTGTCTGCTTCTCTGCATTACAAGAAGATTGGGCTTGGAGGATACACCATATAAGCAGACAGTGCTGGAGCTTTCTGTAGGTTTACTCTGGGATGGACAGGTGAAGGTCCCATCAAGTATAATTAGGGCTACTAGTTCAGTGGTAAAGTATAGATAATATGAGACAAGATAAAACATACCTTTTCTGTCCTTTAAGCTTGGTGGAGCAGTTTAGTTTTGGGTACAATTATGTGTGTTTGTGTGTGTCTACATGTGTATGCACATAGGTGCTTTTGTCTTCTCTATTTGTGCCTGTATGTTCCATTTGTGCTGCATCCCAGAAGCTATGAACAACACATCCTCCAGGCTTCTTACCCTTGTGGTGACAGGGTCAGCAGTCAGAGCTGCTTAGCAGCATGCTCCTCTCATTACATGCATCAGCAGCAATATTACAGCCCCTACTGTGAAAGCATTGGAAGTGCACGTTTATAAGCTTTAATTGTTTGCTAAGTGGTTAGACATATTGAAAGTATCTAACTTGTAAAATGATCAGCCGTAGTTAAAAGTTCAGCTGTCAGCAAGGAAGAGCCCTACACACGTCTTTGTTAAGAACCTTTATGTCTTTTGGTTCATTTGTGCTTAATATTGACCTAGAAAGGTGTAATGAGGTATATACCTTATGATACATATGTGCTATGCATTTTTATGAGTCATCGGGGACATGGGCTATGGCTGCTATACATAGCAGCTGTAAATTAATGTTACCCTTATGTCTTCTCCTTGCATGTTTATGTGCTCACAAATCTTTTACACAATGGGGTAAAGTAAAATTGTAATAGTACCTTCACTACTACTGCAAATGCTACATTTAACATTTATTTATTTTCATTTATTTAAGTTTGGTATTTCCAATTTGTAAGATTTGTGTTTATAGGTGTATTAGTTTCAGCAGTTACAAAGAAGCATTTAAAAGTCAAAGAAGTTAAAGCCAAGAGTTCTCCATGATTTTACAAGTTTTCCCAGGCTTGGTGGCGCTGGTTGGGTTAGGGTGTGTGAAAAGCATCAGAGCAACAGAAGCAGAGAAACCTGCACTGAGTGTGAAATAAAGACTGAGTATGATGAAGTTGGTAAATGGTTGTGAAAGTAGGCGCCCCGCCGGTTCTGTGGAGCGGCGAAACGAGGCCAAGCCCAGTTCTGGCTAATAAGTGTGAGGAAGTGCAGCCAAGAGGCCTCAGCCAGTGGCCGCATAACACCTATTATCAGCCTTACTATAAGACATCCACTTGTTTCCATTTACAGGGTATTGTTTAAGCTGTGGGAAGGTTCTTCGGTGTGACACGTCTCTGCTTGTGTCTGTCAGTGCTGACAGGCTTTAATAGTTTTGTGGGGGTCAGCCTCCTGCTACGTGTGGATAGTTGGAGGAAGAATGGCCAGGATATATGAGGACAATCTGGCTCTGCTGACACCCCACCGAAGGAGGATGGGAGAAAGGAATATTTCTGTTACTGCTATTTTGTGGCCTGTAATTGTCTGTAAGGTCTGTAAAATGGGATAGTAGAGCAAAGAGCTGCAATGCAATGGCAGGGGACAGAGGTTCAGAAAGTACACAGGGGACTGATAAAGGAGGTGTGTGCTGAGCCGACGAGCGAGAAAAATGTGGATGTTTGTTGTGAATTGTGATATTGTGAATGCTACGGTGTGTTCCAGCGGTAGTTTTCACTACAGCCAAATGTCTTTCCCCCCCCTTTTTTCCGTTTAAACAGATCCAGTCATGGGTGGAAGGACCCTGCTGGTGGTATCTGTGGTGGTGGGCTTGGCCCTGACCCCAGTGGATATAATAGTGCAGTGGAAAATGTCCTGTCAGTTGATGGAGGAGCTGCCTGTAGCAGCAGGAAGGAGTGTGGCGACAGGGGCCATGTGTGTTAACCTCTTTCCTTGTCACTTTTTCTGTCTTTCTGCCCACCCCCTCTCTACTTTCATCTCCACCTTTTTTCCTTTTTCTTTCCATCTTTGTTCCCCTAGACTCCACTCCCTCTACCTACAGACCTCCATGACAAATTACTCCTGGCGGTTGATTTGTTGGTTGTCAAAAGTGCTCCTTGTGCCCGCCATGAAGGTGGGGCGAGCAGGAGAAGAAGGTGCTTCTCCCCCACCCCCCCCCTCCCTGCGTTCCTGCCCGTCGTCATCACCTGTCCCCTGCCTCCCCCACCCTCTCACATACGCTCCCGCTACAACTCAGTTTAGAGACATCTCAGTGGATATTCACATTGTGTCTCTTAAGATCTCATTAGATCTGATGTTGTCCGTATTTAATCAGCTCGCACGTTGGGTTTCCAACCCTCTTTTGACAAGACTGTTTTGATATGTTCTTGCTTGTATCAAAAGAGAAGCTTTAGGAGAATCTTTTGTTATTTACGTAGTAGGAGGAAGTGAAGGAGGAGCAGAAGAGAAAAACGTGAGTGAGAGATAAAGACTTTATGACAGAACTATAGATGTCACTGTTTGTGGTAGGCTGTCTGCTGTAGTAAGTAGCAGGAACAATTCTGCACAAAGAAATCATTATTTTACAGGATGATCTGATGAAGTAATAAGCAATAAGCAGCTTAGGATGCTAATGTACTATAATATACTTCATCTTCAGTCATGTTCCTGCAAAGATGTGAATATTAAGACACTTAAGCTACTAAATATTTGCAAATCAGCCTGCTTAGGAATGGGTGATATGGATAAAGTACAAGGTAAAATATTATGATCTACCTGAAACTAACCAAATGGGAATTGCTTTTTCCTTTGGTTTAAATACCTGACAAATAAAGGTGTTTAATCACATTGATTCAAAAATCCTGCAAATCCAATACTGCCAGAAAGTGGTGCTGCTCATCGATTTGCAGCATAGCCAGCAAAGGCCCAATACAGCAAGATATATTAAAAGGATAAACTACCTCAGTATAATAAATACAGCAATTCTCTGATGGTTGACAAATCTCTCGTTTGTATACCCCGTGGTGTCGTATGTGTTGTTAGGCGAATATGTGCAGATGTGCGGGAAACTAGGCTCCGAATAGCTTCCCCTCGAGTCCTTGACCTTGAGATTTGTCCTGTGAAGTGGATGATGACTGAGCTGATGCCTGAAGGCATGGATTTGTCTTCATGTTCGTGCGTGTAACAACTGTTGTTTCACATTTGTGTTTAGCTTTCGTCTCACATTATGTAGACGGTTAACATATACAATAGTAGACGGATGGCGCAGTCTGCGGAGTGTGTCGGCTGGACGGCGTGTTGTTTATAGCAACGGCTGTTTAGGCTCAGTCCGTGGCGATTTTATTTCGTCAGGTTTTTGCTGTTTTAAAAAAACCCTCATCTCCCTGTCAGTCCCTCACACTGTTTTATTCACTAACTGTTTGGCTTTCGAGAAAGTAATAGAATATGTTTTCCTTTCAACCCCAGCTATACAGATGCTAGATTGCTTTGTGTATCACCATCAAAACACAGAAGAGCGCATTGCAATCCACTTGTGTTCAAAAGTCTAAAACCATGTTGTCTCTCTGTCTCTTTTTTCTTTTTTCTTTTTTTTAAAGAGGGGTTAAGCTTTTATCCTATAAATATGGCATGAAAATCCCACTGTCAACGACACATTCATTCTAAGGCCCGTATTAACATAAAAATGAGGGCTTGTTATACAGTGAGATTTCAATAAAAAGAACACAAAATGCATTTAATGAAATTCAGATGCTGGGCCCTAGCTCACTGAATATCATTAAATGAGCTTTGTGCTGTTTTTCCATCTTCTTTTTGTAGAAGAGGTCCTTGAGTGCCCTTAATAATGTGGCAGATTTCATCATATTCCTGATTTAAAGAGGACAATGTCTGTCTTGTTCACTTGTTCTTTTCCATGCCCAAACCAATCTCCACAGATGTGCTTGCATAGTTTCTGGATCTGGCTCATGATAATATTCCATCTTTTATTTTATTTTTTTTTTTTTTACTTACTGAAGTTTTGTGAAGGTTCTCCACTAACCCGGTCTCTTCTTGTGCCCCCTCCCTCTTCTGTTTCTCTCTACATAGGATTTGGTTTCATAACATTTGACAGTGAAGACATCGTAGAGAAAGTCTGTGAAATTCATTTTCATGAAATCAATAACAAAATGGTAAGTCTGCGCATTATATTTTTTCCAATTCCAGGTGGACGTCGAAGGATTAATATTTGATTTCTTCTTTCCTTAGTATTAATAGCACAGCTGGTGTGGGTGCGTATGTGTGTGTCCATGTTCATATGCACAGGCTAGCACACGCACACACACATATAGACACTCTGTGGGTCTCTGGGTCTCAGGGATGTGAAAGCAGTGGTGTGTACTGCCCACAAACCGTGAAATTGTGTGGCTGAGTTCTGCCTGTCAGGCTGAGGGACGGGAGAGTGGAGCCTGTCCCTCTCTTTCTGAATCCCCTACCATGCACACACACGCGCGCACACACACACACACACACACACATACACAGGTAGAGATGTCCAGGGATCCAACAGGGAGGCTACTGGCAGAGGCCGAGTTCATTAGTCAGGGATTAACACCTTCCACAGAGTGCCAGTGATGCTTGTTTTATTTACACCAGTAATATGGTCATCCCAGAACTCCTCAGAGTTCAGCAGCAGTTTTCTAAGTCATCGTGTAACTTATGATAATTGGCAGGAAGCGTTTTCAGTGTAGAAAGTGTGACATTAGGTCCTCCTTCACCCAGTTCCACCTTGCAGGCGTCTTAAGAAATCCTGCGCCATTTAAGCACGTTTGCGGACGGCAATTGATTGGAGGAATAGTCGTCTTACTACCGTTCAGCAGTGCTCCTTCTCTTCGCTGTGGATCTTCACTCTCTTTCACAGTTCTTCCCTGGAAATGACTGACTGACCGGGTATGTGACTGACAGGACCAGTGTAGTAGAACCGTGTTCACCAGGGACCACTCTAGGTCACACATGACCCCCAGTATATGTCCCCGCGTGTCTCGGCACTGCATCACAGTCAGCGCTCAGGACCGAAACACAAAAAGCCAGAGTGTGACAGAAATAACTGTGTGCATGGAAGGTAGCGTGTCACAATCAAATGCTTCAGAGCCTTTGATTTGTAGACTCAGCACCGTGTGAACACACAAAAATCACGCAACGGTATGAAGTGTAACACCTGACAGTTGTAGATTTTCTAAACCCTTCTCTTAAAATAAAAAATTAAGTTACAAAAATAGTGGATGCAACTTTTTGTTTGTTACTAAATCTGAGCTCTGGAGAATATCCTGGCTGGCATAGTTTGAGCCCCTCTCCACCTTTTTACCTTAATTAAAAATTCTCATGATGTAAGTCAAACTCACAGCCTGTTTGTTAGAACTTGTAATTGGATAATAAATGAATCTTGAATTGTGTTTCCAATTACGAGGCTGAATTTCCTTAACTGAAAAAATTTGTTAATCTTGCATTTAAAAAAATACACTATTATGTATCAGTATGTTATTAAATTAGTTGCACACAAATTAAGGTTTTTAAATTAAGTTTAAAAGAGCACGAGTGGACTGTTCAGATTTTAAAAACACAAAACAATCCAATCTTTTATAACTGTCATTACTTAGCAAATAGTTATATGAAGTTCAAAGCAGGTAAATTATTTGCTTGTAAGCTTGCATAAATTAAGAAATTACAAGGACTTTTAGAGAACGACCGCTGCACAGGTCTTATACTTAAAAACAAGGCGTTACCCAATTGTCTTGTATGTGGGAACATGCTGTGCATAGCAGTCGAAAGCAAATACCTGTCAGCGAATATTATTAGAAACATAAAATCTCCTGATACACCTCAGTCTAACAGGCTTTATGTGAGAAAATGAGCACATGGTATATACTTGGTCAGCGATGAGGTGTATGTGCAGTCGGTCCACTGTAGCTAGCCCAGCTGCTCAAAACATCTGCTCAAGTGGATTCAAACTCACAAATAGTGTTACTGTCGTGCCAACTTCCATAGCCCAGGGATTCTCTGGCATTTACATTCCATCGGCAAAAACGCTTTCTGTCCAGAGAAATGGAATCTCACATACAGAATAGTTTTATTAGGATTATTCAAAGCTATACTGTTAATAAGTGCGATGTCAAAAATTAGTAACAATGTTGTCATGAAAAGCATGTGTCCTCTTTCATGCACATTCCAAATCTTTGCCTAAAGGGATGATATAGGAAAAATAAGAATAAGAATCTTCTAATTATACATATAAATAGAAAAGATTGTTATTACTACAGAGAGGAGTTTTTTGAGGAAGCGGATTAGAGAGAGATGGATGAGAAATTATAGGCTGTTTTTGTGTTGCCATTAACATTAAAGCTTTCTCTGATGCAACAGTCACTGTAAGGAAATGACTCGCTGTTACGTCACAGTTAATAACAGTTACTAATGTTGTTATTTATTTCACCTTTGCTGCTGAAGTGCTGTGTAAAGTGTAAGATTTGCTACCACGGGGGATGCATGGGGAGTTTGAGTGGTCAAAAGTGCATGTGACACACTGTTGTGCATTGACATGTTGAACCTAATAGGGCGTGCACAGAAAATGTTTCAAGTGCCACATAACTGCAAAAGCTGTATCCCTAGCCTGGTCACTCCACCTGGGAGTCCTAGAAACCCTAACAGACAAGATGAGATGGGTTTTTTTTCTCACTTGGGGTGGAAAGGACACCGTAAGGTCTGGTTTTCTAAGGCTTTTGTCACCTTTGTAACAGCCCCTGTTGGCAGTACCTACTGCACATTAAGTTCCTTTGGATACAGGAAATAAATCTTCTACAAAGTGCTGACATCTAGGAAGGATGTCAAAAGAGAAAAGAATTTGGAGTGCGTTGAGCATTTTTCTAAGACACAAAATGTTTTTTACCGTAGTTGCTCATAGGAGGAAACTGGTTATCCGGTGTCTGAAGCACCAGCACATAAAATAAAAAATGCCTCCTGTCTTCATCCTTATGAAGTACTATACAGAAATAGACCTCATCCATCCTCCCCATGAGTGTTATCTAAGATGGTTCTTGAATAATTGATGCAGACAGAAATTCCACCCCACTTGGGAGGGATGTGGATGTACAGGGCAGCCCACCTTCTCCTTGCATGTCCTCTCAGGAGCTCTGGCGGTGTACCAGGGTCAGCGTCCACTCAGATGTGAGGGACCGGACCTTTAAGTGACTTGGTCGCTCACCCTGTGTTCATGTGCCACCAAGGCCTCGCTCTCTCAGGAGCGCTTCATCTGTTCACTGTGAGTTCTGCCTCATACATAATTAAAAATAGGGTGCTGCTTAGCAAGAGTCTCATAACCTATGACACCAGCTGCACTGACTTCTCCATTAGCCTGCTTTAGCAAATGTAGGCTGTGATAAAAGTATCGATCATCCCCTCCAGGGCCACACGTGATTGTGGAAACATGATTTAGCTACCATGGCATCCACCCCTGTATTAAAACCAGTAAATATTTTCAGAGTAAAAAAAAAAATCAATACGGGGGAGATTACGTGACAGTTTTCTGGTACTTTTTTTAACACTTTATCACACCTTCCCCATATATGAATGTCTATATCATATTGTGGCGAGACAGCACCTTATTAACAAGTAACGGCTGTGACTTGTGTTTTCTTAGACAGGAGTACCCCCCCCAACAAATCACATACACCACCCTGCTGTTATGCATGCACAGATAATTCATAATAATACCTATCAAGTATTGGCTCTTATGAGTGAGCAGTGTGCCATTAAAATGGAGTCACATTGGTTTCAGTGAAGTGCTTTAATGTAATGTTCTTTAATGTGTTATTTTCAATATTCAGCGAATGAGTAGCAAATGATCACAACAGGAGGGAGAAATTTTCTGTTCGCTGTCAATTTCTCACTGTGTCTTCCTGACATGACCAGCCAATTACTGCGCCGAGGAGAATAAGCTCCGACTCTCCAAGTCGCTAAGGAGAAGACTAATATAAGTAGGCGTTTATACAATAGCTCCTAACGCAGAGATACAGATGTACTCTGCACAGTGTATTGACTCAAGCATAATGTTGAAAGAGAAGTAGTAAAATGTATAATGCAGCCCATATATTTCTGTGGCTACGACGTGTGTTTCACAACAGCACCATATGGTACTTTGCTGTCATTGAAAGCACGGAAAGCATTGTTTTTCTCCAAAATCATCTTGATCTTTGATTCACAGTTTTCTCTTTTTAATGTTCTGCAGGGATAAAATAATTCAAGTTAGTACTTAAAAGATTCGACTCATTTGTAAGCCTTTATACCAGATTTACAATAATGAATGTGTAGTTGCCGCCAGCTGGATAAACTTGCCTGCTCTGGTGCATGCTGTATAATACTGTGCCAGATTTTTATGCACTTTCAATGTTTGGACCCTTATGTAGCACACAGCATAATCTCTGATTGTATTGTACGATACAGATTCAGATTCATAGGTCATATTGACACGGACCACAAAAAGAAAAAAACAGTGTCCTAAAGAATCATCTTCAGTGACGAGATGATTTGCTCATCTCAACATCATTGAGTCAGTCCGGATTTATATGAAAAAACAGAAGCAACTGAGGCCGTCGAAATCAATAGATGAACTGTGGCGAGTTCTCCAAGATTCTTGGAATAACCAACCTGCCAGGAGTCCTGAACAAATGCTGGTTAGTGTGTGGAGGAGCGTTTATGCTACTCAAAAGCAAAGGGTTGTCACATCAAATGTTAATATTGATTTAGGGCTTTTCTGTTTGGTGCACTATTAGGTTAATTCAGTGGTGGAATGGAGCATTGTTTCAATTAGCGTTGGTAGTGGAGAAAGCATGACATACTTTAGGAATATTTGAAAATGTGATTGGAATGATTCTATGAATAAAATTACTCCCATTAGGTTAAAAACACAGCAGGAGCCAGGATTCTCCAAATCCACTTTCCGTTTTCTTAACCCTCTCAAGGCAGGCGTTGCAGATTTGCAACAGTTAAAAGCTAACAACCTGATTACCCCACATACATATTTTATGAGTTTTTTTACTCAGAAGTACCACTGCAGGTATTATTTTGTGTATTAGCAACAAAAACTTAATTTGTGCCTGAGAGGGTTAAAGGGGATGAATAAGGTATCAAACCACATCATTAC